TAGATAGTTCACCATGCACCATAATTAACTATTCTTAGATTAATCTATTATACACAATCTTATCAGAATTCATCTTTATTGTAACTTTTTTCCTGTAGTTCTTTTTTTTTTTTTCTTCACCTTCCTTTACTATCACCATTATTTACAATGAGGGAAACACCATTGTTTGGTCTACCAAAAATGATGCCATCGTCAACTCTATCTGCCCCATGGGTAACATTGGAAAATTTTCCTCAAGGGATCCATGACACAACTTACTAAGTTACCTCTTGGAGTCAATGAATTAGTTGGTCTTATCCCACCTTTCTTGGGGAATCTTTCATCCCTCCAAAATATTACATTTACAATAAATCATTTGGAAGGAAGTATACTTCATGTTATGAGTTGGATATAAAATTTGAAAGAGTTTAATTTTGGTTTAAATAGTTTGTCACTAGTCCCCGTTATAACCTTTCAAGGAAGTTTTTGTTTCATTTCAAATATTCAAATTTTTATTCCCAATTTGCCTGACTAACAAAAATGGCCAAACCGTTAGATTTCTTGGATCAACATCACATAAACAGACTCAAACTCTCCAACCATCAAACTTTTTGGTGGCGTTAATGATGCAAGAGGCACCACTTACGATGGTAGTCGTTGTTGTTTCATCTTTATCACTTGGCTTTCCACTACCCACAAAGAATGAGAGTAGAAAAGAAGAAAGAAATGAAGGAAAAAAAGGGAGAGTGGGTCGTTGCCACTATCGAAAATCACCATCAGTAATCGTAAGTGACGACAAATTATGTTTTAGTGAATGATGAAGGTGGAAGAGAAAAGAGGAAGACAAAAATTGGTATTGATGATACACCAAACTATGATATAAATGAGATTAATCAAAGAGTGTAGAAAAAATGGTCCACCATAAACCACTTGTATATATAATGGATCATGCTAGAATTATTCCTAATAAAAACCACTACAAAAAAAAGTCAATTTAGCCACCGAAATTAGCGACCGATTTTTTTCCGTCGCTAACAGCGACATAATTAGCGACCAAATCTAATTTAGTTGCAAATTTTATTTAGCGACCGAATTAGCGACCGATTTTTTTAGTGGCCAATAAACGGTCGCTAAATTGGTCGCTAAAATAATAATTATTGGTTAAAATAGCGACAGAACGGTTTCGGTCGCTAAAAGAATAAAATATTATTATTTATAATAATTTTAGCGACCAAATTATAAATCGGTGGCTAAAAAATAAAAAAAATAATATTTATATTAATTTTAGCGACCAAATTATAATCGGTCGCTAAAAAAATAAAAAATTATTATTATTTATAATAACTTTAGCGATCGATTTTAATTTGGTCGCTAAATTACTATAAATAATAATATTTTTTTATTTTTTTAGCGACCGATTTAAATTTGACCGCTAAAATAATAAAAAAATATTATTTAAAATAATTTTAGCGACCAAATTAAAATCAGTCGCTAAAAAAATAAAAAAATATTATGATTTATAATAATTTTAGCGACCGATTTTAATGTGGTCGCTAAAATTATTATAAATAATAATATTTT